TGAACTTCCTGCGAGATTACGAATCCGGTGCCGCGCCCAAAGCGAAAGGGGACGAGGCTGCTGGGATCGTTACTGAGCTGGAGTCTCTGGTCAACAATTGCGGGTAAGATTTCTCCGCGTTCCTGACTCGGATGCGCCTTGCTCATCGGCTCCTAGTTTATGGCGGATGGTCCACATGAACGTATTGCAACCATACGAGTCCGTGCATAGGCCGGAACGCAAAACTATGACGGCTGGGATCTCTGTCGTGAATGCTGCAAATGAGGACCTTATGATCGAGCATCTGAAGCAGCAGTTGGGACAACGGTTGGCACAGACAGTATGATCCAGCAGAAGCATATTTACCACTTAGACGTATTGATTCCTACTTACCTGGAGGATTTCAATACCCATTGTGTACTATCTAGCTGCAGAAAGTACGAAGTATCAACAGTAGATGGACACAACATCTTCAACCGGCCATTACCGAATTTGCAGCTGATCCCGCTGATCCTTATCCCCTCTTTCCTCATTCCTACTACGATGGCCATCCTCGACTCGCTGTTCACGCTCCTTCAAACCACGTTCTTTTCTATCCTCACGCTCTTTTTACGGCCTTTTGACGCCTCTCATGACCATGCCATCATTACCCCGTACCCGCTGGTGCCCGATCTCGAAAATCGCGTCATCGACATTAGCGCGCCCAAGGCAGTTTCCCGGAAACGCGCGTCAACAGACGTGCTCGGGCCGCTCGGCAACGCGAGTTGCAACGTGAATGCGTGCTGTGCGTGTTGGCGTGAAATCGCACGAGCGGAGATGCATACTGACGTAGTGCTGTGCACGCAGATCCTGTTGCTCTCGGGCCCGCGCGGAGGCGGTATACGGTGACTATCCCCTTCTCTCCCTTCGTCATGCATCAAGCCCAGCAACCTTTGCTTCCTCTTGAGTGGCCGCCGAAAACTGTGTCGAGCTTCAAGGTTGTCTCTGGGGCTTATGTGCCCAACCCGTTCCACGCAAAACTCGCTCATCCTTTACCGGTCTCGAACCAATCTTCAATCTCTCTTGTAACGTGCAAGGTCTCTGTATTGCCGGCTGGGAAGGAAAACAGGGATGGTCATTTCAAGCAGACCTCGAAACGCAAGCTAACGCCTCTTCGTCGTATGCCGCGGTACCTCAATCTCGCCGGAAGCTCGCCCTCAAAGATGGCCACCAAGAACTTTTCTCAGAATGTAGTTATTCGCCAGCATTCCCAGTCCGATGTCAAGTCCCGACGTGCTACGATCCTGCCTGGGATGGAATACAAGACCCCGACAAAGACGAAGACTTTGTGGCGCGTCAATGCCTCGCCGGACTTAAACTCACCGCTCAAATTTCAGTACGGCTGGGAGCCTGCTGGGATGCTGACGCCAAGACGGGTCGTTGGTACCCTCGGTCCCGCTGACCGATCGCCCGACCTGGCTGCCCGGGTATGGAGCATCTTCTACAAGCACCGAGACGGTGCATCTGAGCAGGAAACCGACTGCGCGCGGGATGTGTTCTCCCGCGACTCGCTGCGAAGTGAGATGTCGGTCCTCAGTCAGATGGTGAAGAATCTGGATGTTGTACCCGATAACGCCGACGACGATGCAGCCAACGCGCACGGCTCGCCACTTACTCCGCGATCCGGCTATTCTCCGACCAGCTCTTCTTCCTGTTCCTCATCAAGTTCTCCTTCGTCTTCGACGCTCGGCTCCCCTGTCTCACGGGCGTCGACCGAGTTGGCGTATATGTGCGCGGCGAGCCAGGGTCGCCGTCCCTGGCCGACCTCGGCAGTGCGCTCGTTCTCGCCGCCAGCACGCCCAGATTGTGCATCCGAGACTTCGTCGTCCTCACGGGCCGTATTCTACAAAGACTTTCTCACTGGCGAGCAAGGCTTCCACTCGACTACTCGGCACTGGGAGCCGGCACAGGTCGGGGCGTGGTTGCGTCAGGAGGAGCATTGGAGCGATGTTCTCTGTCTGGAAGAGTACGTACGCTAGACCACTGTCGTGTCAGAACCGTTCTTGCATGACACGATATGCCTGTGGCTGCTTCCTCGTCTGGCTTTAGCTTTGTCATGTTACTTCTACGCAGTTAGACCAATAACATGCACTTCGACGCATCTTCAGTTCGGTATCAGCATTGGGTTTACAACGCAATCAATTCTTCCTGGAGACGCGCAGAACTATGTACGACATAAGGTGTATTCTCTGGCTACTCCGTCTGGTTGAGTGAATCTCCGATACCAAGGAGCCCGACACTGTACTATAAATAGTTGAAGAGCAGATACGCAATGTCTTGACAAGAGACAGAAAGACCACGAGCTCTTTATGCATGCTCAGAACGTACTACATTGTCATCCGACCTACCGCATGGATGAGAGCCACTCAAGGAGGGCCACTTGAAGCCGATGTCTCAAAATACATGCGAAATTTATGCGCGGTTTGATGGACCGGCGTTCATTCTTAGTAGCCTCAAGTTGAGCGAGCTGAAATATACGTGTACAAAAATAATGCATCTATCTGCGTCGTATTCCGGCGGATACCGAACGTGGAACTGGAGGAGGCAGACGAAGCGAGCAGATGGCGCATCTCGAGAAGAATGCACGTGGGCCATCAAAGCTTTCAGGAACTTGTGCTGCAAATTGGCCTACTAAGTAGCACGACGCTTGATTGATATCGCGAGTTCTGCTTCCACCACCGGCGGAGCTTGCGGACGAGGCGATAGCCTGGTGCATATGGCGCTTGCTGAGTGGGCGCTCGCACGTTCTGTCGCTGGACGATTCCTGACCAATGACGTGCTATGTACTGTAAGCGCGTGGATGCCTCCTGTGCATACTTCCGCGGACGGCCCCTTGTGGCACTCGAAGCGCGTTCGCAACACTCGGGAGTCGGAGCGAGAGAAGAAAGATTGGACGCCAGACATGCGTATGGTTCATGTAATCTCCGGCGCGCACTTGGGGTTTGGCACGGGTGTGAGATTTTCAGGTTTCGGCTGAGCAGCGCATGAGATTCATCATGATTGGGTGTCTGTCAGTGAGGTGGGCATGGATAGGACGGGCACGCACTGGCAGCGGATGCTTTGCAGTAGAGACCACATTACGGGGCGCCGTTATCGATTCCATGACATGTGCTGACAATGTGTAGGCGACGGTCGACTTCGGTTGCCCCAGACCAATGGGCCAGCGTTCTGACTTGATTTCATCCTCGGATACTCTCACTGGGCGCTTCTTTGGACGAAGACCCTACCGCTACCTCCGACTGGCGGACAGATGCAACAGCAGACAGATAGACCGACAACCTCTTGCTCCGAGGACCAAAGCCCCGTACTGATTTGAGTGGGAAACAATGGGACAATCATCTCCAGCTTTTCTTTGAGCGCCTTCTCCAATCTGGCAGCACGTCGACCTCGGTGAGTAATAGCTAATCATTTGTCGCATCAGGATGCTACTCCCATCATTGCATGGCTCGCGTTGCACCTGGAGTCGATCAGTGATGTTGTCTGGAGACTCGGTGCGCCTCTCCGGACTCGAAGCCTTTCTATTCTCGGTTCCATGCTTCACCCTGGGGCTGACGGAGGAGCTCTAGACCGCGTTCGCTTGCGCGTCTCTTACATCGCGCTCGTGCAGCACGCTTCCTCAAGCATCATTTCTGCGCGGTGACTCGCGGGTCCGGGGAAGACAGATCAGACCACGGATGTTTTTGATCTCGACATCCAAGTGGCGCAATATGTGCTCACGATGTCAGATGGGGGCAGAGATTGGAAGCACGACCGCTAATGAGAGATCGACGGCTCAAGCAGCTGCATATGTCCGTTCTGATGACGGCAGGTTACCAGCAACTCCGTCGCTTTGATACCGTCCTCTCGGTCCCGGGACTCTTGCATCATCCTTGCTTGGGCTGATCCAAATTGGACAGGATTATCATCGAGTATGATATGAGCGCCCGCAGCTCTCTGGCAACAGCCAACCTTACGAGATCGCAGCCCATCCGTTTCTCCAGCTCCGCGGACCGCTGCATCTCGAGAAGAGTGCAAAATGTGCGCGCCTCGGGGGTGCAAAATCGTCTCTTTTTCTTCTCACGTCCCAATCGGGTAAGAGCATATGAGCAGTTCCGCGGGCCGAACTTCCTCCTTTGAGTGAATCCATTTTTACCAGGCAATAACATCCAGTTTCCCCACGCCCATCGATCCTGCCGTGATTTCAACTGCTGCTATGCCCTGAACGGGACGTATCAGGTGTTGGGCTGACCTCTCCCGTGAACAGCGTGGGACCGTCTGTTGTGCAGGTTTCAGCAGGGCTGTCTCGGTCCTTCAATATGTATGTGAGTCGCCATGTGAAGCCATCTTCCCCTCCATCGCATCTTATCTGATTGGCTGAATCACCATCTTATCTGGCAGGGCAAGGCACTTCTGAATCGCCGAATCTGATGAGGGCCTTGTGGCACTGCCATGCCACAGATCAGACTGTTGTTCGGCAAGTGGCCGACTGGGCGCGGCGTTCCGGGCTTGGAAGATGGGCTAGGAGCGGACGGAATAGCCTTATTTGGAGCTGAACGTAGCAGCTTTTGGCAGCGCCGGATCTCGGATCTGAGTAAAGCATGATCGATCTCGGAGATTTCCTGAACGGCTTGAACGGGGAATCTAACCTGTCTGGCTAGGCTGCTATGGATTGTATTGAGCATGGCAAATTCCGGTGGGTATTTGTGGCGGCGGCTCCCAAGCTGTGACCTGGCATGCATCGACAGAGCCAGGGCGCCAGGGAATGCTTGGCTGGGCCTGTGATTTCCCGATGGTGCATACACATCTGAATCTTGGCTCGGTTCGGCTATCATTCAATGAGCCTACCTACCTACCTGGTGAGCGAGTTTTCTCGAGTCTGGACACCGGGGCTGAGCGGCCAAGCACTATTTGCGTGCTCCACATAATCATAACAGCTTGTCCATCAGAAATGCGGAACGTCGCACGAACAAGGGGAGCGAAAAACACGAGCTCGGGCGCGGAATTCTCTCATGCGGCATGGTTACTCGAGGCAGCGTTGTGATATCATTCGCCCAACAATGTTCAGCTAGCTAACGGGCAGTTGGAACATGCCGAAGAGAACGCTGGGTTGTTGGGGGATCGGCCGGTAATCAACCTGCCTATCACTTGATCAGACATCGGTGATACATGGAGAGCAAGCAGTATGTTTGCGAATTGCATGGTGAAGAATGCAATCATGTAAACATGCATCAGTCGAATGTTTACCATCTCTGGTATGGCGCACAGTGGCTTATGTACGCGGTAAGAATCCTTGATGACACGTTAGGTAGAACTATTTAGGATGAGGTCTGAGTCCCAGATCCTTGCCGAGACGCAATTGCGCAGTCGGTCTCGTAGAATCTTTTCTAGAAATAGCGTTGCGGCCGATAAAAAAAGGTTGTTCGCCTATCGGTACAAAAGTAGGCACTATCCTCAGAAGGGTTCTAGCGCGGGCACGAGGTGCATCGACCAAAGCAGGACCGCTGAGAGCACCACTGTCGAGAACTCAAAATTCAAACTTGCCGCCCAGAGAAAGACAGAAAGATCATCAGTTAGTCCGAGTAGTGCGACCCGAGATACCTGAGGTACCGAGTCCAACGTGACGGACATCGCTCTGTTGCTGTGAAGATCCGACTGCTTCACGCGTTCCCGTCGTGTGTTTTCAATCGCTGGGAAGCGATCAGCACCGGCACGGCGCGCCTGCTGCGAACGCTGGGGTCGCCAAGTTATGCATGAGCCTAGATTTATCCGCCGGTCGGCAACATTCGCGCAGCGGTTCGTCGGTCCCGAAAACGTGGTGTGAGAGATCCAAGCCCTTGGTTTCGACGATCATGTCCTCTGGTGAGAAACAGTGGGAGAAACACCTGCGGCTTCGAGACGAGTCGAAAGTGGAAAGATCACTCCCACCCATCGGCACCGGTGACTGATGAGATCAACCAACGGTCCGTGGGTACGAATGACCTACATGGCATCGCAGGATGAACTCGGCGGGGAGACACAGATGGACTAGAGACACATGTCAATGCGTACTCTGCCAAACCGTTGGGCGACGCCGACGGAGTGAGAATGCAGCATGAATGAAGCTCTGCTCACTCACACGAGATGTTTCGGGGAAGACCAGGACATCGGTCACTTGCATTCCGGCATTCACATTGAATGTCGGTCTAAACCAGATGGATGGAGAGCCCCAGTTCAAAGGAAGATTGTCGATTTGATTGGTACCGGTCTTCAGAGTGCACTGGGTTGGTTGCAAAGCCGGGATCCTGTGACGAATTTCAACCATGTATGATAAGGTTCAAGAACTGCGCATACCCACAGAATATATCTGGAAGAGTGATCTACAGCCGCTGAAGAAAAGGATAGAGCTGATGCGCCAGAGAAGTGGGTTCGGGAGCCTTCCAGTCTAATTTGGAGGATCCGGTTTGTCATGCTCTGTGTAATGATTGCTTTGCCCATCACATGAGGGTGCTACAATTATTAGATCTGAGAAAATTGTTTCGTTAAGAATCAGTCTCAGCGAGTCTGGATTGCATTCAGATACTTGTAGCCCACATAATCGTCTTTTGAGTAAAGGAACGGGCGATGAACCATGGAAGCAGAGTCTGACAGCGTGTGGCGGTGTGCGCTGGCCGTTGTTTTTGATCGTTTGTACAACGTGTTGACAACCGCACAGCGACAAAAGACGACCTCCACAACGGCCGGATCGTTCATCATGGGCATAAAGCATCTAGAAGGTGCGTCAAAATGCCTTAATCCTTCCCACCGATGACGCCCCAGTCCCAACTCCGACTCAAAAAAACTGACAGCGTACGCGACGGAGCGCAAACACGTCCACACCCTCCCCCTCTCGACGCTCTCGGATTCGCGCTTGGGGATCGATGCCGCGTACTACCTCCAACAGCTCCTGGACACCCCCGGCTCGCGCGAGCCGCTCCTTGCCGCGACGGGCGGGCTCCCGCTCGGCCTCACCCAGCGTATCGAGTCGGATTTGCGCGCGCTCGACCGACTTCGGATCAAGCCCGTGTTCGTGTTCCCTGGGCTCGTGCCTAACAGACGCAGCAAGAATCAGGGCGGCTCGGGGAACGCGAACAACAGTAGCAGCAGCAACGGCATGCACATGAATATGGGGCCGGCGGGGATGGGGCCGCTGGCGCCTGGTGGCGGGCTGGAGCAGGTCGAGGCGTGCCGCGATAGGCGGGACGCGTGGGCCAAGTACGAAGCGGGGCAGGAAGACGCTGCGACGAAGTTGTTCGAGGGGCGCAGTGCGTTCCAGCAGTGGGATCTCTGGAGGATGGTGTTGCGCATCTTCAGACATCGGAACGTGGAGTTCATCGTCGCGCCTTACTGTGCATGGGCCCAGGTGCGTTTTCCTCGTCAATTCCTCCAGCGGCCCACTGGAGATGGGGATGAATGCGGTTTTGACTTTTTCTCGACAGCTCATTTATCTGCAACGCCATCCGAAGCAATACATTCATGCCATATTTGGGTCTACGGACACTCTGTTGTATCCGGGCGTCGACCGCCTCATCACTCATATCGATCTCGTCGCTGCAGCCAATGCACTCGGTCCCTCATCATCCTTGGCTTCCTTTTCGTCCGCATTCGGACCCCCTCCTCCATCCCCAGCGACAGCCTGTTGGTCCCCTTCTCTTTGTTGATGGATGACCGTTGTTGACCTCGTTCTTTTGCAGCTAATGCTACTCCGGCAACGTTCACTTACATCTCCAAGCGTTCCATCATCACCGAGCTCGGCCTTTCTGAAGACCTCTTCCTTGACGTTGGAATACTGGTAGGCTTCGGCTGGAACACCAATCCGGCTGCAGTTTCTTACGCTGGGGGTTATGGTGCTGGAGGTGGAGGCTATGGTGGCGGAGGAATGGGTGGGACCATGCCGTTCCCACCAACTGTTCACGAACAGGCCTTGAAAGTCAGTACCCTGTCCCTCCTCAGAGAAGATACTGACGGCAGCAGGCCACTGTGGACATGGTTAAATACTACAAGTCGGGCTTTGCTGCAGTGACTGCATATGCAGAACACCCGGCCGTTAAAAGTCTGGGATATCCCGAACATTATGCAAGGACGAGAACCATGGCGCGTGGTTCCGTGTTTCCGTTGTCCGAAAGCTGATTTCCCACTGCCAGGTTCGGTACTCGCTTATCTTCTCGGCTGAGGGAGTAGTGCTTCCGTTACCCGTTGCTCTCTCTAGCACGGCCAACTCACCGTCTGGGTCTGGGCCTGCTCCCAATGGCGGTAGGCGGTGCATCTGATTCCACATGATTCACATTTCATTCTCCCACAGGAAATGTTGTTAGCGCGGCCGAGGTTCCGACGGACCTGAACGACGTGTTTACGCATCGATTACCTGATGAGGTAGGCTGCGCGGTTTTCCTACCCGAGGTTGTACCCACGCATTGACGTATTTCCCGACTATAGATCTTCTTTTATCTTTCCCGTGGCCTCCTCGGGCCGCAAGCTCTGGTCTGGCTCACGAGCGGACAGATCGCCGAGAGCCCGCCCTTGGATAATGGGGAGACGACCGAGTATAAACGATTTGTGAAGGAAGTGGTGACTGACGGGCAGACTGGTCCGAGGGCTACGGTGCGTGAATCGTTGGCTAATGAATGCTCATGAAGTAACCGCCGAGTAACTAATTCACAATTCCAGGCCCTTGCGCTCCTTTCGTCCGTTTGCCACTCGTTCTGGGGCAATCGGAAGGTTACGGGATATTTCTGGTTCGAGCAGCCTGGCCCTCATGCGCAGAAGCAAGTTCAGCACGGGGCACCGCAGACGACCCAACTGGCAGAACGGGTGTCTGGGTGGAATGTATCATATGCGGTAGTCGAAGAAGAACTTCGGCGGCAGAATGTGCGTGTCGAGCATCTGGCGCTTCTGAATCTAACTCGATTCCCAGTCTGCCACGATTGACTTCGCGCTCTGCCTCGGGGCAACTGCTACGGAACGTCATGCAGCGAGGACCCGGGTGAAAGCCTCCTCAACGACTCCATTCGAGAAGAAGGACGAAGTCGTGGCTAATGTGATATGGCGGTTCCTCGAGCTTCGGGGATTCCTGCTCAATACGCACACTCATTCCCCGCTGGCTCGGGCCATGTACGTGGCCAACAAGAGTTCGAAGCTAAACGACAAGTTTCAAGACCCGCTGTATCTCTTTTTGGAACTCGTGCGTGCAGGGGTTATGCACGGCCACTTGTGGAGCGGCCGGGCGTTCAGTGGTGGACCCAGCTTCGGCACTGGTGTGTAGCTCTGTTTGTTTCCTCACAGGATATCCAGCTCATCGAGTCATCTGCACAGATGAGGAAAAGTCTGCCATGCTGTTGGTTATGCGGGTGATGAGCATCGTTCCGATGACATTCAAGGTGGGTGAGACGTTTTCGGCAGCGAACAGACTCACGATTTCGTTAGCCTGTGCCGTGGTCAGCGCCTCTGTCGCGCGAGCTGCTTGTCTTCAATTCCTTCGTGCGCAGCCTGACCCGGGCCCTTCGCACATTGATCGAGGCGGGTGCTTGTTTGCGTTTATGCTTCCTTGAGTACTGACTCAGATGCAGGTGACTTCGTTGAACATGCTTCTGCGCCACGACGCACGGCGAGGTCGTGACGATCTGCTAGACATTTCGCTTAGCTTGCCATTCCAGACGGAGGCGAACACGGGCTTTGGAGTGCTTGGGAAAGTTTATCTGGATGCGCTGACGCACATCAACAATCGGACACGCGTTCGGGATCCAAATGCGCCCGGCGTCAAAGAGGCCAAGGTGCGCTTGTTGTGTGCTTGGTACTTTGATGGAGGACTCACGGGTGCTCGCCTAGGCGATGGCCTTGGAAATCTGTGAGGAAACGTTCCCGGGTGTGAAAAACCCCAAGTTGGAAGTAGAGCGTGGGTTCCGCTTCTGGGACGTGGTGAGTCGGCCTGTTCATTTTTCGTCTGGATGGGGTTGTCTTCTGGGCTGTGCTGTCTGAGGCGTGGGCGAGTTCTCAGGCGGAGATTCGTCGTGATCGCATGCGCGCTGTTTCTCAATGATTCATTGGCATCGGCGTTCTGCGGTGACTAGTATCTGACGACGGTGCGATGTCGGCTGAGGGGGTTTCCCGCACTGTGTCTGGCCGTCAGCGAGGCTGTGAGATGTGTAGATGGCAGCCACCAGTCGTCCATTGTGGGTGGCTGATTGCATAGTCCTGTAGAGGCTACTTTTCTTCGATGGGCGCGATAGAGTTCGAGGCTATAACTTGCTTGCTATCGGGCCTCGTTGTCTGTGGCTGTTGTTTCCCGTCTTTTCATTCAAAGGGATCGATTACTGTGGCTAACTTGCATGTTCCAGGCATTGACTGCTATGCGCCAATTGCACTCTGAAGGTGCCGTGCTTCGCGAGCTGATTGACCAATTTGAGGCTGCCGAAGCCTGGTTGGCGCCGATGCGTCCTTGAATGAGGGCCGGCTGTCCGTGGGATAAAATCTTCCTCCTTCACATTACGCGTTCGCTTTTATGTAGCTTTTTTGAGAAAATGTCACGCCCCATGCGCCATGTTCTCATCATGCGGCTGAGCAACGGGTAACCACATACTCACCACCGGAGCTTGCGGGCGCTATCCTGGGCCCGTGATTAACGCTACGACAAGCCAGGTGTCTCGAATCTAATCCAATCCATCGACTGGCCATCCCCTTGTGTCACAGCGTGGGATATCTGCGGGCCATACGGAGCGTCGCACGACCCAATGGAGAATTGTCCAGCTTAGGACCGCGTGGGAACGTATACCTTCCTATTTGGAACATTCCTTCTCAGGACTTTCCCTTCCCTTTTTGGGGTGGCGGGATCGGGCTCCGGATCGGACTATCGATCTCGGGACGTAGGGAGCGTTTGTTGCTTTGCTGCCACCACCACACTCGCGACCGTGTTACATATATAAGCCAGGATGTGCGCATGCGCAGACGATTGATTTCTCGGTTCTGCGGCTCCTTGCCCGTCACTGTGCCACCTCCCGCTCCTCTTCTCCGTTGTCGGTGCTGCTCTCAGGCTGTCGACGTCCTAGTTTCCCCTCCCCCCCTCAACTCGCATGCCGCATACTAAGCACCCACATATGAACGCTCTCGCATCCACATCCCGCTCGTCGTCCGACATGGGCGCCATGCTCTTAGACGTTGTCGTCAAGGCCAACCCGCAAGCGCTCCTCCCCACGCCCTTCACCAACAACAACCCCATAAGAGTCATTCAGCTCGTCGAGATTGCTGCCCCACCGCGCAGCCTGGTCCCTCCAACGACTGATTCGTCCGTCTACTCTAGTGAGGATTCAGACGATGACGAAGACGAGGAAGACTCTGTCGACGAGGAATCGTATTGCTCTTCCTCCCCTGGTGATGAGGAAGACGCGGAGGCTATGGAGGAGGAACGGCAGGAGGAGCTGACTATGCAGACTCGTATTCTTGCATGGCGTGCTCGGTTTGAGAAGGATGATACGCGTTCATCGTCGAGCGGGCGTTCAACGGGTATGTGTTCACCACTGCTTTGTGGTTCGGATACTAAACGTACGCGTCTACTACAGGAGGACGACTCAAACGTCCGGCATCCTCCGTGTGTTCGTCCTCGTCTTCGGTTCCCTCCAAGCGGTCGCGAACATCCATGTCGCCGTCGGTTTCGGTTTCGGTCTCGCCTGCGGCTTCCGCCGTCAACGCATGTACACCATCAGCCGCATCGCCCTCGTCATCACGGTTCCTTGCACCGCCATCACCCCTCGCGCGCCGCCACTCGTCTCCGCGACAGGCTAAGCCGTCGCCACTGGCATTCTCATTGACAGCCCATGTCGTCAATTCTCCGCCGGGCTCACCGGCAGCGGGCCACGTGCACCAACGCGCGCAGTCGTTGGTAGGGTCAGAGACGACATGCCCCGCATGCGACCGATGGTTCAGCAGTCGGGAGGCGTTTGAGCTGCATGCTTCGCTACGAATGGACAACTATGGGGCCGAAGCCTGCGGGGCCGCCGTGGCCTACGCGCAAGAACCCGCCGCCATGGATACATCCTCTCCGTTGCCCGCGTGACCGTCTCCGACCACGGCGACCACGACGACCACGACAATGACGACGACATGGTATCGTCTCTTTGTACCGCCTTGGGGGCGTCGGAACGTATATCTTAGGGGGGCTGATGTCTCCCGGAAAAGTCATTCTACAAGTTCTCTGCGATCATGATGGGGAGAGCGCCACATTGCGATGGGGCCCGGCTTGGGTTTCCGATGGGGCCCCCCCTTCGCGGTGGGAAATTTGGTCTACATACTTGCTGCTGAGCTAGGCGTCCGTGCGTCGGCTAGCGCTGGGTCCCTGGGCCGGTGTCCCGAACCTGAGCGCGATATCGCGCGTGCCTTGAACGCCTGTTTTCGTTGCGCTTTCACGTTCTTGTCTTTGTCCTTTTCTTTTCGCTTCGTGTCTTTGACGCATACATTTGGTTATTCCCACCGCATCTTGTATTACACACTGACCGCGCATTGCATTGGATCGTAGAGTATCTGCCGTCTACATAATCGAGCATCGCATACGCATACTTCTTACTACCTGTAATTTTAATAGCTACTGTAATGTCCAGAATGGCAATCGACGAGCGTGTGCTCCCCGAGGACATGGTCTGTTCTCCAGCGAACAGCGCCAACGATGTGCGAAATGCAGGCCGTCATCGCACCCTCGGTCCGCTGCCCCTCTCCCCGTGACCGCCCACGCCGCACCGCTGAACCTCCGAGGTTTCCCACCCGAGAGCATGCGCCCAGAGGAATACGAGCAAAAGAAGCTTGCGGACCGGGCGTTCTTCTCGAGTGCGGCTGGTCAGCGTCGGCATTCAAGCGAGTAAACAGACCGAGATGCCTTCTCGCAACCCAGATAAGCTGACGTGTTGCGTGCAAATGGGGAGTCTGATCTGGGTTTCCCACGCAGATGGCGGTAGATAGGTAATTGCGAAAAGAGGAGGAGCACGAACACCACCTTGTTGGGCCTTGGCCCGCATGATCTTGGGAGGCTCGGATACTGGGTGACAGAGTTCTGATTTCCAGGGAATTAGAGTTGTGTGGGACTGGCTTGGGCTCTGATGCAGAGGCACTAATTCATGATAAAACGGGGGCGATCAAGCACAAGTGCAGTACATATGTGCGCTCCAATCTGGAACCCGGCACGACGCCGACGCCACGGAAGTTCGACCTACTTACTGGGAGAAGGTTCGCGGAACGATTCCGCCCGTGAGAACGTCCGATAGCCACTCATATTGAAGCTCCGCCGTGGCTAGAGCCTGGAGCCCTTCTGGCGGCTAGAATTTTCACCGGTGGCCCTTGTGGGAGGCAGGTTGGAGCCAATTGCGAAGCATTTCACGCTCGCTTTGCGTGGCTCATTGAATACAAATGTGCTCGGAGAGCGTGCGCACTGGTTGCACCACGGTTTCTGATTCTCATCTCCGCGTTGAAGCGCCAGCTTTTCGCAGGCCACAAAAAGGAAATGCATTTCCGTTGAGACTTGAGCGACCGCACCCTAAGCACTGAGAGTTCAGCGACCGCCGTCATCTCTCAGGTGCGATGCACTTCCAATGAGCATCATCGGGGTGTCAAAGTCAATCACTCAGTGATTACCGATCATTTTCAGAGGGGTGACCGAGATTCCGAGACAAGCGATGGTCTGAGACTCTTACCCTTGCTCGCACCACAAGAAAAGTATACCGACAAGCTAGACGTGTCCACATGCGCTGACTCACTGGGCCACGATCACATCGGACCATTGAGAGTGTCGCACTCACAGTGCCCACTGACCAGTTGGCTCTAAAGTCCTAACGCCCCCTCTTCACTTCCCACTCTTGGCGCACGGTGATTCTTATACAGCCGGACTGAGAGCTGGTACACGTTCCAGGACAGCATCATTCCGGATGCATATGGACGGCGCTGAGAAAAGGCATGGCTGGCCGGATCTTCCACGCAAATGATCTCCCACCAACCGTCGTAACGGACGTGGGTGTGTGCGACTGCGCCTGACTGCGCTCGCATTCGGCTCGCATTCAAGCGGAGAATTGGCGGCTGAATGTCGAGGGAACGCGCGCCGGCCCGGCGTAAGTGGCGACGCGGTTTCGCATGCTCCTGGGACGAGCCTTGCATTGGCCAAGAGACTCACAGAGTGTGCGAATAAAGTATGTAGCGAGCCCAAGCCGACTTTTATCTATCAGCAGATGTGACGTGTTTCAAGGCTGCGTTCATTCATTGCGACCTAAGGATAGTTCGTGGTACCATCTATCTGACCGTGGGTTTTCGCTATGTCACTTGATCTTTACTATGCTCTCAGCGGCCGGATGAGGCTCAATTAAGAACTCAGGTCGAATCAACGCACGATTCACCCTGTGTCCGGTCCCGAAACGACCCCGTGTTCGCTGGCCAAGTCCGTCATTCAAGGCATGCTCGCGTCCTATGTCATTCAGTGGTTCTCCCTCGCTGACAGGAGAAGAATGATTAGAGGGGGGATGTGATCCGGACACATTTATGGACGCGGACCGGGGGCAAATAGCTCCTGGAGCCAAAGAATCTCGCCATCTGGCACTACACCCGGAGGTTGGAGAACTCATCACAAGCATGTCTGTCTGTCTGTCTCCGCTCACTTGGCTCTGTAGATGACAACCTGATTCTCTTGTTTCTCTCCAAGCCTGTTGCCCAGAAAACCCAGAATAGCACAAGTCTAGGCCCGCACTCGTCGCCAGTCTCATTTTTACCACCCACTGCTTCTGCCATCTACCGGCATTCTTGTACGTTGCCTGTTTCGGACGGGACAGACAGATCTTGGACCGGATAGTACGAAACGGGCTCGCTGAGGTGAAAAATAACTTGCCTGATGACTATCGAGTGCGCTGTTCCTCCCAAGTGCCGACGGCTGAGCGTATCTGGTAATTTCAACTCGCATCACATGATTCAACTTCAACTTCTGACATCAGCCCTGCATAGGCCATCTCCCCGTCCGCCGGCCCGAGTGTTTTTCTTCCTCTTAATAGCTTCGGACCCTGCACGCCATATCAGCAGACCCGATAAACGCGATTAGCAGCCATACCGTGCGATTTTCTGCGTAGCTTGTGTTTTTCTGTTTTTATTGTTGTTCCCACTCCCCACGCTCTTGGCCTGGGCGCTGTTGGTGATCTCCCTAGGTATCCCCGCAGCAGCTAGGGACAGATCACGAGCTATGATGGATTTGGCTGGGTGAAAAGATTTGCCCTGGACCTTGATGGCGCGCACATGTCAGTCTGTCGCGGAACTTTAAGGTGAAAGACTTGGAGGCGACACAAGATGAATGAGGAAGTGAATGACTTGGGCTTGGGCTTGGGAGCCAGTCCATACGCTGGGCTTAGTATGGTTGTCACTGAAGCTTTAGCACTAATCAATCCAATCTTGTGCCTTCGCTGGGATCCATTTCTCTCATTGTGCTCAACTTTCGTCTCTGCTTCGGTGGTATTAGAGGGATCAAGTTCATCCGGGGAAAATGAGGCAGCAACTCGGTCTTCGAGTGTTCAAGTCTTCTTCCCTTGTCCTATCTTACTTGGGGTCACGTGGATCATCCGCGGCTCCCCTCAGTTCTAAGTTAGCATTACGTTATAAGAGATTACATCAACAGCACGACAGAGGATCTAATCGATATCGAAGAACAGAACTTCCGCTGTCTTTTCGCCAATGTTCTCGACCAGCACCTCTGGGCCTGGTTTGTCGATGTACAGGTACGCGCCATCGCCTTCCCTCAGATCGACCTCTTTACCTGGCGTGGTCACAATCCGGATGGCAGACCCCTTCGAGACCCCGGTATTGTATCCACTCGTCTGCACGACATGGATGTACCCTTTCGACCCCGCCACGGCCAGCTTCAAGCTCTTCTGGTCGGAGAGCAGCGTCGCATATAACGTCAGCGCACTCTGCACGGGGGCAGGCCCGGCGCCCTCCCGGCTGTCCTTCAGCACCCCCTCCGCATCAACGGGAGCGACGATGCGCGCCCACTGGTCGCGTTTGTCAGCGTCGGAGAAGTGGCGCGTGAAGTACTTGGGCGTGAGCCGCGACACAGTGGGCAGGGACCAGATTTGGAGGAAGTGGACGGGCTTGGAACCGTACGTCTTCTCGGAGTGGGAGATGCCCGTTCCTGCGGACGTCAGCTGCAGGTCGCCGCGTTTGAGGATCTCGGTGTTGCCCATCGAGTCTTTGCTGAGTGCCGGTCGGTTCTCGTCATCAAGATACGGAGGGGGCGGGATGACGTACTGCTCGAGCTGCCCAGCCACCAGATATGAGAAGATCTCGAACTCCCGGTGCGAGTGTGTGCCGAACCCCTGGCGAGGGGCGACGCGGTCCTCGTTGATGACGCGAAGAGCACCAAACTGGGAGTGCGATTGGTCCTGATAGCTGTCGGACGCCCCAGTAAGTGAGTGAGAATGCACACGACTATCGCGGAGCAACTCACGAGGCAAAGGAGAATGTGTGGAAAGTCTTCAGCCAGCCGTGATCAGCATGGCCGCGCTCTTGACTGGGACGAGGGACGATCTTGATGCCCATTTCAGTATCGAAAACAGGAGTCGAAATGACGGTTTCTGTGACAGTTGTTTGCGTCGACAGACGGCGGAAATTGGCGTTGGCAAGCTTCAAGAGTGAAGACAGTGTGTCTGAGTCGGCGAGGGTGGGGATTGGAATGAGGTTGAGATAGAGCGCGAGGCTTATATAGATTGGGATGAGGGCGATGAGAATGGAGAGACTGGGTTTGGGCAGCATGACGAAGGCATCGTAATGAGCGTTTTTTAAAGGGAGTCAGCGATACCCGGACTTGCCTTTTTGAGCAACAACTCTTACACGCCTGATCAAGAAGGTGTGTCAACGATGGCCTGTAAGCAGTAGTGCGTCACGTGGGCACATCGCTTTGTGTCTCAATTACTGGCTTGCTGTATCCAATTTGGATCACGTATTTGAATTATAAATGAATCGAGAAAAAATGTAGTCGATCTGTATTGTGCATCTGCTAGACATCTTGAACATCCAAGCTTGAACATCCAAGGGACTAGCAGTCTGCCTTCAGTGTGTAAGCAAAGCTTTCGCTTGACTGGATTTCGAGGTGTGCTTGCTCATCATATTTCGAATGATAGCTCCAACTCTCCTGCAAGAAAGGGGCAATCAGCTGGTTGAAACTAGGATGAGGTAGCTGTTACTCACGAGTTCGAGAATGCGCAGCATGTGGTTGCGGCTGTCTCCCTTTAAAATCCGGATCTCCTCCTCGAGCGCGGCCATTCTCAGGTAGGCAGCAAAAAAAGTGAATAGGATGAGAGAAAGAATGAGTGCAGTGGGGATCATGGCTCGACTGCAACGATAGACGGGTGTTTCCTTGGTTCACATGCACGGCAGTGGTAAATACTTATAGTGAATTTTTGTTCAGTCAAAGCGTGCTATACTGTGTCCAAGCGTCATGCGCTTGGGAAATGGCTGTGATATCACTCGGGGCTTGATCATGCAGGCAACCACGCTTGCTTTGGTCAGAGCGCAAACAAAGCGCGTGCAGCAAATCGTCGAACTGGCTATTTTGATGACATCATGTGGCTGTTCATCGTCCATCATCTCCCTCTTGCTTACTCCTTCATCTGGGCCATGAGCTCGTCGTTGCCACCAATACCGCACTGCTTTGGAATGCAGGAGCACCCAGAAGCTTCTCTTGAGCGGTCGAAACTCTCCTCGCTTATCGATAGTCCCGGAGATCCGCTTTCGACGCACCTCACACTAGGGTTCGCCTCCCGTATACCTGTTTTTTACCTATGCGAACGCTTCTTCTTCGCCTCGCTTCTCTTCTGCACCCTCAAAGCTTAGCATACACGGTTGGCTCGGCCCTCGGATCCACCCCACCGTCCATAGACGCTTGCCTTGCAGCATTCACCGTCCCCAATTCCGTGGGACTGACGACAGGTGCTCGCGCATGGTCGAAGCACGCACACCGGGCCTCAGCTCCTCCAAGCCCCGCACCCACATCGTCTCCCACTCCCTCGAATGGCCCCGAACGCGCATCAACGGCGAAATCCGCGCCGCCGCCATCGGGGTGGTGGGGCACCGCTGCCGGCCCCGTCGCCGTGCAGAACGAGAGGGCCGTGACGCTGTTCTGGCGCGTCATGGACAATGCGACGTGGCGCAATCTGCACTGGCTCCCGCACCAAGTGCTTGTGTACGAGGTGCGCGTCGCGGAGGGGTACGGCATGCGCTGGTCGCAGGATCGGAGCCTGCTCGAGGACTCGGAAGGTGCCGGACCTTCGCAGCCGGATCCGGATTGGATTTTTCGTGGATTCGTCGAGCCGATGATGGATGGCGGGCACCAAGTCCGGTGGAGGCATTAATTGCTGTGAGTCAAAGCCTAACTAAAAAGTCTGTCCGTGTAACATAACATAATCTACCCAAAGAACTCGCCCGCGACGAATTCCCACACCCTTTCGGGGTTGTTGAACATCTCTTTTGTGTATTGGTACCCCTTTGTCCCTTGCTCCCACACAAATTCCAAGATCTTGTCCTCGGTCTCATCCTCATACGGGATCGCGTTTCGGAAATTGAGGGTGAGGGACGCACTCACAGGGAGCGCCTGCGGGGCGGCTGGGTCATCTGCTAAATCCGCTGTATCTAGCTCGGAGAGGATGTCATCCAGCGACGTGATCTCGGACCCCTTGATGCCTCCGTCGAACTCAAATTTCTCGGCCTGCGCGCCAAAGACGGCAGAGCGGACGCCGTGTTTCTGGAAGAGGTAGCTGGTGAAGATCGAGCATGTCGATGCACAGATGCCGTTTGAGACGATCACGTAGTCGCCGTCCGCGAATGGGGGCTCGTCAAACGTCTTCGCGATGGAATCGAAGTTGTCCAAGATGGGGTGCGAGTATGCGTCTGGGATGCCGTTGACGATTTGCTTTACGGGGGGATCCATGAACTGCGCATTGGACGTGAGCCGCTCGTTTCGCCCCGACAGGTAGTTTCCGAAAAAGTACTCCGAATCTGAGTTGTTCTGCTCCGAAGCACACTCTGCCTCCCGCCTGATCAAGTCGCTCACTCGAAACACCGCAGGGAATCCCGGGTACCGGTCTTTGGGCCACAGCGTCCGCAATGCGAGGGCGCCCGTAGAGATGAAGCCGCCGCGATTGCCAGACACGTCGAGCAAGATGTGTCTGACGCCTGCCTTCTTCAGCTCCACCAGTCCGCTGTGGATCGTTTTTGAAATCCCATCAGAGTACGTTTGGTAATCGTGCTGTGCGGGCGGCTCAAATTGCTCGAGATAGACAACACCCACATGCTTGTGCTCCTGCAATTGGTAGATGTCGAGCGTGAGGAAATGGCCGAACGATGTGACTGCGAGATCTGGTGAGCATCTTCTATCCCCCTGCACCTCAATCTGCGCTGCAGCTTACGGTTGGGCTGGACGTAGTTTGGGTGGACAGGCGTGTGCTGTTTTGTGCGGATCTCTGCTTGCGTGTCTGGTGCGACCACCGCCTTCCTGCGTTGGTATCTCGACGGCTGTCGCAAAAGCCCGCGGCGACGGGTTTCTCCCGAGATGTCGCTGCAGAACGACAGATCTGCGCCAACGAAACTCGCAGCCCAAGGCACTGTCAGCAGCTGGCTTGTGCCGTTGGCCAGCAGGACCTCCACGGTTACGGAGTCCGAGCCGGGGTAGAACATCCTCTGCGCAAACTTGCCGAGCTCCTGCGTGAACAGTCCAGAATCGGTGTCCGCCGAGTATCGAGACATCAGGCGCATGTACCTCGGATCCAGCGTCTCGTAGGCGCCTTGCAGCCCGTCGTAGATACTCGAGTTCGCCGCGAGATCAAGCAGATACGGGCCCGCTTCGACGCCGTCAATCGACAGGATGCGCGCGCCGTCGAATTCCCGCACAGACACATTCAGGCCCTGGAAGTACTCCTCCAGCCCCGACCGGTTTTGGTTCGGAAAGTCGTAGTTGGCGAGGAAGACGGGATATGTAGTCTGGTTGGAGGGGCTGTCCGCTAGGGACGCAATCGAGAAGGGCAGGTTCCAGCTGAAAGATTGGGTGCACGAAGCCACGAAACTCGTGTGTCCGTCCTGCTCGCGATTGAAAGCCTCTGACACCTATTTTGGAATCAGCCATCAAAGGCTCCCTGTGCGTGATGTAGGATGGACCCACGGCAATGTTGAAATCCCAGTCTGTCTGGTATCCACCCATTCCGCCTTGGGCGGCCGTGTGCTGGACGTCTGCGCGTCTCTCAGAACGTCATACTCGATGCACCAATGCATGTGATTGCGCGCTGACCTTGCAACAACGAGCGGAGATCCACGGCATGTGGAATGAGCGGATTCGGGGAGCGCTCGAACCACGTCTCAAGCGAATAGTACGGCAGGGCTTTCAGCACCGAGTCCATGACCGCCAGACTGCGGGTCTGATTGAACGGCACGCTAAGCTCGCAGGCATGGGCGATGCTGCTCGACACCCAGGTCGCCGTGGTGGCCAGCGTGCACGGATCTCTATGGTATCCGGAGTGTCAGATCTCGGCGCGGGCAGAATGCACTATCCGCGCACGATGCTTTGGCCGCTGGTGCAGCAGCGGCGGCGACTAGTACGAGGAGCGAGAACAGGCCCATGCTGTGCAAGCCCTGCGAGCAGCTGGAAGTAAGTATATGTACTAAATTTCAGGGAAGGCGCGGTTCGCGAATCCCAAACCCAAACACTAAAACGCTTGAGCACGTAATCACACTCCCAAGTGCAGGATGTTCTGCGGTTCTGGGCTTGGTTCCTGCGGCATTTCTGCGCGCCTGACAAACTTTGCGTCCGGAAACGAAAGGACGGCGCTGCTTCGACGCAGGGACTGATTCCGAAAACAGGACGCTGAAGTGGGATGCAGTTAAATTACAGTGCCCGAGTCCCAAAAGCCCAAAACAGAGACGAGGAGAGATAGACATTACTGGCGAGCTTTATGCTTGGATAGTACGTATATATTGATCTAAGTCACATCCAGTGTCAAGAGATCTAGTGGGAAACCAAGGCTCTAGCATTATAAATAACAGTCAGTATGAGGGGTCAACGTGGCAGGCTTTCACGCGCGCACCAGCCGAGAGCTGGCCCGCGCCTGGACTGGGGACATCGCACGGCCTCCGGTGGCCGTCAGGGGAGAAACAGGCCGGCACGACGGAGAGCCGGGACGGGTCAGGATGGGCGATAACGGGCGGTTGATAAGCGCCAGACGGGGAGACGTTGGCGGCTCCTGAGGCAGACTGGTCTTGGCTATCGATATCGGAGGGGGCGGCTTCGAGGCGATAGGTATTGTCGGGGGTGGCAGGGGTGTCATAGCCGGCGGCGACACGCTCAGCTCGGCCTCCGAATCCGTCTCGCTTTCGTCCTCCTCAATCTCGATCTCCATGTCATTAATGACCATGACGCTCGTCTTCTTTCTCCGTCCCTTCGTCTTCGAGGGACCGGCGACGGCACCGGCACTGGCAGCGCCCACCAATGCCTCTTTTCTGCCGTTCTCCAGCATGCCCTTGTGGTCTTTTTTGTAGTCGTACGCACTGGATCCGAACGGCGGAGAGTACGCAGCGGACTCTGCGGCGCGGTACGCAGACTCGTAGTTGTAGTTACCGTGCACGGCAGTGCCCGAATTGGGGATCAGCTGGCGTGAGGCGGGGGATGGAAAGACACGATCTGGCTCGCCGTCGGCGGCGGAGCGGGCGGGCGTGTACGACGGGGACGACGGGACCGACGGTGGGTAGTTGTACGGAGAGGGAGGCTCGAACGTCGGCGAAGCCGGTCCCAAAACGGGGAGGAACGTAAAGTTTTTAATCGGGCGCACGGGAACGGGGGCGGGTGGTCGGAGATGAGAGAGCGCGGGAGAGGCGAGACGTGTCACGGAGGGCGAGCGTGCGCGGCCGGGAGGCATGAAAAATGGTGGGGGTGCTGGCCCTGGAGGGAAAGATTGAGGTGGCGGCGAGGCCACTGGTGTGGAGGGCGGTGACATGGGAGTGTTGTCGGGCGATGCGAGTGGGAGCAGTCCGATAGGGACATGAGATAAGAGCTCTCTCTTGCGTATGCCGAAGGGATTCATAGCGGTGGGCAGCGAGGAACGGATTTCCTCAAGCTCCATTAATTCTCTGCGAGGCTCAGGTCAAATCAAAGGATAATCAGGTGCGAGTGGCAAACGCACTGGAATGTGAGTTTCTTCGCCGGTGCCGTGGGCGTTCTGTCCCACTCATCGGCCCAATGTATCTCCTCTGAACCTTCACCACCGAATGCGACACATTTGCGATAGCCGGGTACGGGTGATCCCGGCTGAGAAGGGGCACGTAGACAGCTTTTCATGATGGGGAAGGTTGATAGATGCGGTCGCGGTCCCTGGTATTTGAAGATGTGAGGGCCTGGCTGTCCCTGGGATCCAGTCGCGGTCCTTGGAGTCTGGGGCTAGAGCACACGCCCAAGCCGAGCTGCAAGAACGGGTAAAGACGGGACGGAGAGCAAGCCGGTTGCAAGCTTGTTGTTCGAGACCAAGTCTGGCGTCTCCGGCGATGAGAAGACGATGGCGAGTGGGATGGTGGAGGGTGGAAGAGAGGAGTCAAGTTCCGTCTAGCGAGCTCTTTACGTATGTGCCTGCATTTTTCTGGGGGGTGGTTGTGATCGCGGACACCCGACTTGATCCGCCCCGCACTCCCTATTGGCTCAAAATGGTCGCGTGCCGTTCATTTCGTCGCTTTGCGCAGCCTCGCGCGCCTTGCACACCGTTTTAGCCACACGCAGCATTCTTGCTGTGTCTGCCGATCGGCCAAACTCACGCTTTTCCACATTCATCGCCAAAGTCCCTCCCTCCGTGCCGGTCGGAGGATGCCCGAAAAGGAGTGATGGTTTCGGCCGAAGCATCTTGGCTCCGTTCTCCGTGGAGCTGCTGGCTGTGACAGGGTTATGAGGAAAGCAAGCGGTCATGGAGAATCTCCCAGTCGTTCAGCTGACATCAAGGGAAGGTCTTGCAGGTGCGGCAGTCAGTCTAGGTGCGGGCCTCCATCCCGCACCGAAGGCCGAATGAAATCACCCCTGCACAGGGCTGGACAAGAGACATCTCTTACTAGTCCTGCTTCTCGGGGAACTTACCCCAGCTTACCCCGCGTAGTCCGAATTCCATCTTTTCCAGGTCCCTTCGGATCCTCGATCTTCTCCGACATGTCAATCTATGCGGCACCTTCTCCGACACCAACCACTGGCAGTTGCCGCTATGTTACCAAAGATTACTGGATCTTAGCGCTCTGAAACTCTGCATGCTCCGGGATATGAGAACGGTGCAAGGCCCGATCTGGGTCTCATTCGTCCGCCCAGGTGGCTGATCGACTTCTGCAGTGTGAAGACAGCAACATGAACTAGGGAGAAAAATTCCATGCGGAAAAGAAGCAGTGGATAGATCGCGGATCGTTCAATGCCGTCTGATAGGGCACGTGGGAAACTGTGTTTCCTCGTTCTACCTCGTTACTAATCCTCCCTTGGTGCTCTGTCGATCGCAGACCGATGAAAATCGACGGGGAAAAGGTGGGTTTGAGCTCGCACAGTTCCAGGCTTTTCTCGTCTGGCGAACAAGGCCACGATCGCCACATTCTACAACCACCTGACTCGGAAAAGGCAATCGAGCGTCAATTGCCAAGCCTGCTTGCTACAATGCCTACTTGGTTACTACGCCGACTTATCACTGTGAGAAATCATGGCTGGCAACATATCCAAAAGCATAAAACAACGTGTCTGTGAGATGGCATCTCCGCGCTGGCCCCCGCATCAAAATGCTTAGACTGCTGCCCATTCTCGCTCTCTTCTTGGCTTTCTCTTCCGGAATCGTGTTCGCAGCCGTAAGTCGTGATTTCCAGCTTCCGCGCTCCAGTTGACGATGGTTCCGCTGCAGACGAACGATGCTCCCACGGCGCGGTCGCATAATCCAGTCCACAGGACAACCACACCGCACACGATGCAGCTAGTGCAAATCACCACCCCGGTGCCCTATGAAGAGGTCACCGCGCGGCTGTACGCGCTTCTGGGCCCGTTGAATTCAGGAAAAGTTCTTCCTGGTGCGACCTCTGTGGCAGATCTCGAAGCAAGAGTGGCGTCGGTCGTCGGTTCCAGTGACTTCATGTGCGACTGCGTCTCTCTCCACCGAATACCGCGCGCGGCTGCTGAGCCGCGTTCCACCACCCTACAGGCATTTCGTCGAATACAACCACGGCAGCTGGTTCCAGCTGTACAACGCGAACCCCACCCCGCGGTTCAAGGTCTATGTCATCGGCAATCCTCTCGTCGCTGAAACGATGGTCAGATTCGACCTCCGTGCGGCATACAACGTACCGTTCCGCCTCATGATTCTGGAGAACGGGAACGCAACAAAGATTGTGCACCAGCTTCCTTCTTCCGTTATTGATCTGTCCGGGCCGGAGGACATGCGGTCTGCGGCTGCAAGTCTGGACCAGAAACTGGAGGCGCTCGTGGATAAAATGGCGGCCGTCGGGTGATTGGATGATAGATGCACCGCGGCGATGCTCTTCTGGTTCTTTCTCATGTTGGCTGTAGTATCGTATTTTTTGATCGTGCATGAGTAACTCGACACGGTGTTGAAATATCGAGCTTGGCACTGCTTACAATTCCACAACAGCTTCGATTACAGGTTGTTCTTGCATTTCACATGGATTTAGAGCTGCGTTCTTTGAGACTGCCCCTGCTAGCAAAGGGCTAGCGTACTCTATGAGATTTCCCACCAAGTCAGAGATGACCAAGAGGGACGGCAAGTGATGAGCTGCTGAGCCATTTCTCCCCATCCGAGTCTAGAAGGCGAAGCTCGTTTTAAGCGAGGTGACTCCATTTCTCCGCCCCATTTCTTCATCGTCTTTGTACTGTCTTAAACTCAACAACGCCGCCATAGGCCTGTAAGCTTTTCGGTCATCGTTCGCTGAGCGATCCGAAGCACACCCGTGTCACACACGTGATCGGCAATCACTGTTGATCTGTCATCTGAGTCTGGGAGCACCACGGTCTGGTATGAGCCAGTATGTCGCAGCTCCAGGTTTCGGCACCCGGGCGGTCTCGCTGATGCAAATTTCACTGCAGCGAATGCGCAAGGATGAGCAGTGTGTGCGTCTTGCGGCGGCTAACTCGTCTCCGTTGCCGGATGTGAGCCGTGGGACATGGGCGAACCGTATTTCCTCATAGTACCAGCTGTTGGGTCTGCAACGCACCGCGCCGAAGCCAGTTTGTACGTAAATTTTTCAATTGGGCTGAATCTTTCTCAATGGGACCGTTTCCAGCCTGAATGCCTCCCCTCTTCCTTCACGCGAAGGACTTCGAGATGCCGCAGCCAATATGTTGCAGACTTCCATCTCACGACGAAGACTCTGGAACACAATCACTCATCATGATGCACAGGGAGACTTGGTTGTCACGCCGCTTCGATAGAACTCTCCCTCTAGATCTGTTCCGCATACTTGTCATGGTTGATTCTTAGGGAACACCGCCCGCCACCGGTTCATGGAGATTCTGCTGTTCCTAGAAGCTCCACGTTTCAGTTTCAGCCTCTGGACCGTATCGCGACAGAATCAGGGAGTGAAACGGACACACTATCTTACGACGCAGGCCGATCGTGGTCTTCTCCACCACTGCGATGGGCTTCTGCGCCAGTTCTTGCAGTGCGAAGTTAGAAACAAGAAAGGTAGAATAGCTACCACATGGAAGAGAAGGTTCGGGTGGATAGATTCTTGATCGTTTGGTGCTCAATACCCACAGACCCTCGCGTGCATTTCGAGACGGCATTCCCTATGTCCCACGTCTCTCTTTGCACTCTTTGGATTGTGCATGGCTTCAAAACCGATACGGCGCCTCTCCAAACCATCGCGAAGACTTGTTTACGTCTCAAGCTATCTACCAGCCAGCACCAATCAAGTGGAATCACGGTCGAGCGTCGTCGACTGGTCTGCCGTTTGGAGAGCAAGTACATGATTGCCGAAGCCATGTGGATTGCCAAGGCTGCTGCCCTCAGCACCGATTGGCGGATACAGGACTCCTAGACTCTGCCAGCCAAGGCTAGACTGACTTCTCACCGGGATAGTGCGTTGCCGCAGAAGCTGTTTTCCCTGGTCAAAACGAATAAAGGCAAGCGCGTCTGACCAAGCCAGCCCATCGAACCCAGGATGTTTAAGCTCCTCTCGATCCCAGCTCGCCTTGCTGTCATCTTCACTTTCTGTTCTTTAACCGCCTGCGCGATCGTCGGTAACGTTCCGCTGCAGCTGAGGTCGCTACGCTCACTTTCGTTTGTTTTCCGCTGCAGGGAAAGGGTACTCCGACATCGCTGTCACATAACGTTGTCCACAGGACAATCACGCCGCACACGATGCAGCTGGTTCAAGTTACGACGCCGGTGCCCTACGATGAAGTCACCTCGCGTCTCTACGCGCTTCTGGGCCCGTTGAACTCCGCCGACGTTCTTCTCGGCGCAACGTCTGTGGCCGATCTACAGGCAAGAGTCGGGGCTGTGCTCGGCTCCAGTGGTTTCATGTACGGATTTCATCTTTCCTTCGGACGAAGGGGCTGTCGCTGAACCGCGCGCGGTCCAGGCACTTCATCGAATTCGACCACGGCGCGTGGCATCAGCTTTTCTACTCGACCCCTACCCCGCGATTCAAGATCTACGTCATCGGGAATCCGTTCATCGCCGAAACGATGGTCCAATATGATCTCCGTGCAGGCTACAACGTGCCGCCGCGTCTGATGATCTTGGAGGACGGCAACGGCACGAAGATCGTGCACCACCTCCTGTCCTCCGTCATTGATATGTCGGGGCCGGCCAGCCTGATGACTGCCGCCATGGTTTTGGACGCCAAGTTCGAGGCGGTCGTGAACAACATAACAACTGCCGTGTGATATAATTGGGCGCCGATGGTGCTTCTTCCGGTTGGAAATTCTTTTTTCTGGATACCGGTCCTGGTATCAGAGATTCTGATGTGTTACCGCTATCTACTGCACATCCCAATCGCGCTTTTATCTGACATGTTGATCTTCCGTATCTTTAAGCTCTCTTCTCACAGCTGGAAATCTGCAATCTGAAGCCCTGTGCTCAGGCAGAGTCTGAGTGCCACAATCGACAACTTGGAGATTCCCGACAGCTGTGTTCCCAAGCCGATATTATTCTCAAATGTGAGGCAGCACAGTGTGAGCATAGTGCGAACGTCGGCAGCTGTGACAACAACTGCTGCTCTGGCTTTCTCGAAACTCCTAAGCTGTGCATGTCAAGCGGATGGCCGAGATTCTGCTCTTTAGTCTAATGCGCGAGTTGGAAATTGATCTAAGTTTGACTCGTCTCAAGTTTTCCTAGCGATTTGATCTATTGCGTCTGTCTGTAAGTGCTATACTTATAGATGATGATCTATCCGAGATCGTGATCCGGTGATTTTCGGAACCAACTGCGGTTCAACGTCTGTGCCTAATGATAGTAGTTGGTCGCGATGCCCTTCACACCAGCCCAAGCCTCGTCCAAAGCATCGACAACTTCTTCAGCTGAAAAACAACATCAAAACATGCCCTGACAGCCATCCAAGCCACTTACGCAGGGGTCCTTTTTCAAACTCGTTCAGATTCTATGGCGCGTTTCCAAGTCAGAGATAGGATCCAGATGATCTTCGTGAGATGGGCACCTGTTCGATGTGGGCGACACTCGAAGCCCCAATCAGGACCGCATCGCCAAATTCACGCTTCATCAAAGAATGATGCATCGTCCAGCGCAAAGCGACTTCAATCATCGTCAGGCCATGTTTGTCGGCAGCCGCAGAGACTTTATTCAAGCCATCAAAGTAAGCCTGCTGCCAGTATCGCTTGCGGAGCTGCTAGGGTCAAGCACGGAATACATGGCCAGTTTGATAGATGAGACTTACAACGTTGGCACGGCCTGTATCCTGAAAGCGGGAGTCACTCCCCGCTTCGTCGGTGATTTTTGAGAAGCCGCCGGTGAAGAATCCGCCGGCGACCGGATTGAATCCATAGAATGCCATCCCGAACTTACGCAGGCACGGGAACAGCTCGGGCTCCACGGCGCGGTGGACCGCGTTGTAGAGGCCCTGATACACAGAGGGCTTGATCCAGCCGTTCCGCTCACAGATGCCGCAAATCTCAGCCACCTCCCATGACATGTAGTTGCTGATACCGAACCGCTTGAACTTGCCCTCCTTGTAGAGCTCGTTGACAGTGCGCAATGTCTCTTCGAATGGGTTCTTGCGGTCGGGACCGTGGAGGTACCACATCTCAAGCGTACTATTCGGAGTGAGTGAAAGCTATAGTCTCAGAAAAGAGCGCTTACTCTGCCTTGAGAGCGTCGAGGGACATCTGGCAGAACTTTCGAATGCTCGCCGGCGAATGATCACCGATGAAGCTCTGCTCAGGCTGGTCCTGTCAGCATTGAATTGACGCATAGGACAATATTTTGACGAACTGAAACGGGGTAGAGCTTCGTCTCCATCAGCACCCCCTTGCTCTTCCAGTCGATCTGCCCGAGACATTCCTCGTTCGTGCCACTGCCATATCCGCGTGCGGCGTCCAGCTGCGCGCATACTCGTTAGAAAATAACGAAAAGCTAGTCTGGAGAACGCACCTCGCGATGGCCATGGCTGAGAAAGACATCGACGATCGCCTCAATATCTTTGGGATCTGAGACACGCGCCATAGGCGTCCCTGGCGCCGCGAATGACATGGTGCCCTGCGTGAAGTAGATCAGAGACAAGGTTGGACCGCAGTCTCAATGCTGCGCACCAAGACCACATTGACAGCGGTTTTTTGACCAGGATAAGGAGTAGTCATTTGTTGAGAATCGGGGGAGTGTAGATGTGGAGGGACGGATGGGATATCATATTGTGCTGGGCAGCAAATTTATAGGAGAGCGTCATCTTGTCCGATAGAGGCCGTGAGGCCCGAAAAAGAAGTGTCAAGAGGTCTCGACGCCACCAGCTGTCATTGGAGAGCAATAGGTAGTACGAAGGGCTGCTGAAAAATGACACACACCCGGATGAGCACCCGCGGATGCTCATCCGAGAAATTTGATCTGGCTTGATGCACGGTGCACTTTCTGTCTAACCCACAAGTAAGTCGTGTGTGGCACTTGCAGTGAGCCCGGTCAATGAATATCGACAAGCAGCCACGTCTAGCGAGCAAGAGATATCTTCGAGTTTACTTTCATTCATTGCAGCTCATTGCAGAGTCGGCAAGTACGGCGTCTTGAAATTTACCAACCAAGATTTCTTATGTCATGCTTCTGACGAAATCTGAAATTCGGAATGAGGCTTCCCGCTCCAAAACGGATCTAAGAATGCACATCCAAGCATTTCTTTGTTCTAGTTGGCCCCTCGAACAGGATGTTCAACTTCCTCTCGATCTCAGCTCGCCTTGCCCTCTGCTTTGCTTTCTGTTCTAGCAATGTCCTCGCGGTATCAAGTGTCGCTGCGGCTCACTGTAGAAGACAGGATCTCTTCCTACTTTCTGTCTTTTCTGCTGCAGGGAGCGCACATTGCGCAGCGTAGCAGGTCATGGGCCGATGGTTGAGCTCAGCATGACAGACAGGCATGCAAATGGAGTGAAAAATTGGGGATTGGAATGAATGTGGGTCGTCGTTTGTCTCCTACTGTCCTACAACCTTGTCCATTCAGCCTCTCGGGACTTCCTCGATCCAATGTCTGTGTGTAAACCGGATCTCCGCAACGCCTGTACACATCTTTCTGTCCTCAACATGATGTGTTGTGTGCCATCTAATAGTGTGGACTCAAGAAGGGTTACAAACTGCTGGAGGTCGGCTTTCCAAAAAGTGAGGGTAAACACTTCCTAGTCGATACATGGCCATGGCAATGGCATTCAAAACCAATTGAGCAAATCCTGTCGAGAAAGAGACTTCAGTGAATGCAATGCCGTCGTGCTTGCGGAGAATTCAAGATACGTGAATGGTATTCGGGTGATCGAAATGTCCTTGGGATCTTTGTGACTTGCGAAGAGTCAGGATGGGGGTAAAACATGAGGACTTTCCAATAGCGTTTCGTAGCCATTTTTGAGGCTCAGTCTTCAGAATAATGTAGTCATGTGTTATCCGGCACCGGGTCTCCCGCACAGCGCTATGCCTATGCGTCTGACGCTTAACTTTGATGGCGAGAGAGAAAAAATAACCCCAGCCAATTTTACCGAGAATCCTGCTTGCCCAGTAGAAGAAACCGGTGACCGGGGGCTTTATCTCCTCGCCAAGTCTATTGTATCTCACGCAAGTTCTGCTCTAGCGACAATTCCTAATTTTTTGCTGATCGGAATGGGATTTTCTGGAACTGTAGCGTCGGAAATAGTCACAAGGAAGGAGCTGAGGACGGAAATCCCGACATCAAGGTGAGCGATTTTGCGTAAACTGACGAGCAAAGAGGTGCTTGGTCCTGGAGGACTGTCAAGACTTGCGATTGGTATGGACGCCATGATGCGTCAGCAACTCGAGCCAACTCGCGAGTTGCCGCTCCCGTCGGCCTGATCATCTTGATCGATCGATCTGGCTGACAAAACCTGCGAGCTCTGAAGTCTACTCACGCCCACACTATCCCCGCATCAGGAGTCAGCAAACGTTCAGTCGACCGTCGGTTTGTGCCGAATCCTGACGTTCGACATCGTTGGTACCCTCATTGAAGGATTGCGCAAAATATTGAGAGCCACCCATAGCCCCTCTGATTGATCGATGCTCAGTAGAGAAATGTGCACCAGCGACAGGTGTTGATGCTATCGCTGCGCGTCCGTCTCGTTGAAAAACCGGACGCTGGCGCGGAATCCCGGGTTCAGATAAATTTTAGAAGTGGTTCAAAGCGATCCGTGTCATGTGAAGAGCCCATGATTGCAAGACACCGATCTAATTTCGCATTTAGAGCAGATCATGTTGGAGGTAATATCCTGGGGAGATTTGCATGGGGATCGCTAACGCAGCAAAGCGGTGTCGAGATGACTAGGCCTCAAGTCCTTTCCCCTGCAAAATTCAGCCGCGAAGCCGCTTCCCCGAAGGTCAGTAGGCCCGCCTAACTATTGCCTCAAACTTTCGCCTCTTCCTAATCTGTCATGGCGACCCGTGTGGTCCGTTGCCTGTGCTGATCTAGCGCGTGGTGTAAGAATGGGACTCGAGGTTGACGGTCTAGACTTTTGGAACACCTGATGACAGAATCAAGGATCAAGAATGTCACATTGTCGCACGAAAGAGCCTTGATTGTGGTCTCATCCGTCCACTTCGATGTTCGCCTGTAATGGTTCTTGCAGTATGGAAAAAAAGGACAACGACCACCGCGTGGAAAAGAAGGTCCAGGTGAATCAATCGCCGACTGTTCGGTAATTAGTGTTCACAGCTGCTCGTGCGATTCCGACACCCGTGGTCCTTGTCTATCGAAATTCTGTCGACTGTGCTTACTACAGTGGGAGGTTTCCGGCGCGGGTGGATTCTTGACGCCACGGTAAAGACCTGTTTGTGTCTCCAGATAGATCTCTAGGCCCACCCTCTTCGAGGAGATTACAGCGTTGTCGCGACTGGACTGCCATCAAGCGAGTAAGTTCATGGCTTACCGCGGTCAGGCAGATCACCGATCGCGAGTGAGACTATGGTTGTCCCGGCTAGGCTGACTTATCACCGAGTCCATTCCCACAGAAAAAAAGATTCTTGGGTCAAAATGAATATAAAAGGCGCGTCTGACGAGCGAGCATCTCCAAGCCAGCCCCTCAAATTAAAATGCTTAACGGCCTCTCAATCTTCACTCGCCTTGCCGTCGTCTTTGCTTTCTGTTCCGTCACCGTTCTCGCCGTTGTGAGTGTCGTTGCGGGCCAACCCGTGCTGCGATGTTCACTGAATTGTTTTTTTTTGCAGGCGGACGCTGCTCCAACTTCGCCCACCCAAAATCCTGTCCTCCGGACATTGACCGCACACACCATGCAGCTCGTGGAAGTGACTACGCCGGTGTCCTATGATGAAGTCACCGCGCGCCTGTACGCGCTTCTGGGCCCATTGAATTCTGCGGACGTTCTTCACGGCGCCACCTCTGTTGCTGATCTTCAGGAAAGAGTCGGGGCCGTGCTCGGCTCCAGTGGATTCATGTACGACATCTTTCCCTTTTTTTGCGTGGTTTACCCGGCCGCCGCTGACCCGCCTGTGATCTAGGCACTTCATCGAATTCGACCACGGCGCCTGGCATCAACTTTTCTACTCGACCCCTACCCCGCGATTCAAGATCTACGTCTTTGGCAATCCTCTCATCGCTGAAACGATGGTCCAATTCGACCTCCGTGCCGGATACAACGTGCCGCCTCGTCTGATGATCATAGAGAACGGGAATGGAACGAAGATTGTGCACCATCTTCTGTCCTCCGTCATTGATATGTCGGGGCCGGCCAACCTGACGGTTGCCGCGGCGGCTCTGGATTCACGGTTTGAGGCGGTCGTGAACAGCATAACTGCTGCTGTGTGATATGGAGGTAAGCCAACAACGATTTTTTCTTCCTTGCCAGAAGAATTCAAACTAAATCATAGCAACAGTGTGATAGATCTTCAGTAAATTATCGAGCTTCCAAAATTCCGACTTACATTCTGTCTACGCTTCTCTAGAACTCGTGTTTTTGTGTCAATTTTTATTCAGTTTTTCAATGCATTTGGTTTTTCATTGAAGAATTGGGTCTTGATTGTGTTATCCAATTGACCAGAGCTGCAGGTTCAGACGGAAGCTGCTCTGTTTACTCGTGAGTAGTTTTGGACAAGCAAGAGCTCCACTGTCTCCATATTCTAGTTTGAATACCCATACAGACAGCATTTTTACATGCCTGACCTACTACCACCTCAATCTATATGAAGAACAAGTAGACCCAGTTGGGCACAGAGGAAATCAACAACTAAATTGTGTGTATAGAGAAGAAGTAGACCTCAAGGCATTGATAATCAGAAGTGAATATTAGCATGTGAATGAATGTACTTCAGCTGGTCCCGTAGCCAGTAAACAACTTAGGAGTAAGAAATTTCAATATGAGGTACAGTCACAGCAAAATTAAATGCCCCACAGTTCGCAAAATCCTGCCCTTGGGTTTCCTTTTTTGGAAGCACCATATAAGGCAGTCACCGGCCGACAGCATGTGATGGGCACCGACATTTCACCGAAAATCATTATTTATCGAATAAACAGAGTAAAAATACATGAAATAAGATCCAAGTGTTAGAAACAAACTCAGAATTGAAATAACGAGTTTTTTAGAGTTCAGTGACAGGTAGCATTTACTGTACCGTGCCAATCAAATCGTGAGGGGGTGTGATGCGTGACATAAAAGATCAATTCGTCAATTCGTCAGGTGCCCCCATGACATGTGACATGTCAATTTTTTTTGTCAGGTCATGCATTCACCTCCCTATGAGTGTGAGATGCTTGCAACTTTATTATAAGCTGTGAGCGTCCGTTCGGAGCTGCATAGAGGCTCAATTTGATGGACGATCACCAATCTGACATCTGGCGATCATCGGATAAGAAATATCTATCATTTGCGCTATCTCTCTCTCCCTGGGACCATGGCGGCAGACCCACATCTTCTGATTCCTCCCGGGATTCGTTCCCAGCTCCTACCTGCTGACAAGATCTCTGTATGGTCTCTGGTTGACTTCGATATTCCCCCAGTGTCTCGATCATGCCAACTGCCTGTCGAAGCCTTCATGTGTCACGAAGAAGCTGCTGTCACCTCCGTGGAGATCATTCGATCCATTCTCCCGCCTCCAGACAATGTCGTCAGCGCGATCTGTCAACACATCATCAAGGGCATCCTCAATGGCGTGGACATTGCACCGACCATTCAGTGTGTCCATCTCGGGCCAGACAGAGAGGTTGTTCCGCTATGGATTACCTCATATTGGATGGACCTTACCGATGTACGAAAATCACACAGTCGATGGTCTCGCGCCAAACTCGTTATTACGACAGCTCTTCGGAAGTCCACTGTGACTTTGCGGCCTGATTCTCGAGCTCCGCTCTCACGTCAAATTTTTGATCTGCTATCTTTGGTGTCTTGGACGGAAAATACGCGCGGTTTTGAGAATTCAGGCCCCATTCTGGAACTATCCTGGTATATTGGCCGGTCCTGGTTCACAGATGCGCAGGAAGGGCACATGTTGGAGCTTCTACGGGCCGATCTGCTCGGCACTGGATCTGTCTTCGAGGACGAGATCTGCGACGTCTGGATGATCAACAAGATCCGCGATGGCTTCCAGAACTCTGATGCATATGGATCCACTCGCGCGCTCTCAGGCAGCGCGCATCAATTGGGGCAGGTTCTCTCATCCGGGGAGCGTCACCGAGTGGGGATGATTATCAATCTCAGCAACACTCATTGGGTTGCGTGTGTCGTTGATGCGTGCAAAGATGTGATTCTATATGGGGATTCATTGCAGAACGGAAAGTCTCATGGTCCTCGGCCCGAGGAGAAGAGTGTTCTCTCGTGGTGGACAAAGTTTCACACTGGCCGTGATTTTGAATGGGGCAGGTTGGATACAGCAAGGCAGGAGGACGGATACAACTGTGGCCTCTTTGCCATCAACGCGCTCAGCCATTTTTTCTTCCCCCACAAATATGATCTTCTCTCGTCGAACACAAGCTCTGGAGATATTGCACGGCTGGAAATGCTCAAAAAAATTCTAAACAAGCACATGAATGTACGTGAATCAATTTTTTTTTGTACTCAGTTTGATAACTTCATGATCAGATCTTACCCGATTCAATCTCCTTGACTGTGCGGAACACGCTCGAGGATCTCCCCTCGATGGTGCGTCTCGTTTCTGATCGTCTAATTTAAAAGAAGTAACGGCCTGCAGTTTGACGCGAATGACAAGCAGATAACAACGGAATGGTATGGATCCAACTCCGAGTCGACGTCATCAAATTCTTCGATCTTCCCGCTCATTCCCAATGATTCTGAGCTCCTGCCTGAGCCGATTGCGGATCAGGATTGGCGTTTTGATAGCCCTGCACCCCCCAGTCCATCTACAATGTCTGTGGACTCATTTCCCTCAGCTGCTGACGACAGCATGCCTGAGGTCGAGTGGGAAGACATGCCTCTAAATGTCGCATTTGATGATCACAAATCACCTGTTCAGCAATCAAAGCTGGTGCGAAAGCCGGCGTTGAAGAGACTTCTGTCTTCTCCGCCATCGAGTCCCGAACAGAAGCGAGCCAAGGCTGTGAAAATCCCGAAGTTCTCCACAGAGAAGGTCAGGGTTGTTTCGAATATTCGAGAGGGGTTGGAGAGCGAGGAAAAGACCGGTATTGTGAGGTTTTATGCGAAGAAAGCGACACAGGAGGATCAAGATCGCGCTCTCCAGCAGTGGAAGGAAGGGCGCATAGAAACGTTCACACAAGGGCAGGGGTTCTCCGGCCACCCTGATCGTGTTCTTGCTGAGAAAGCGGAGCGAGAACGGGCTGGTGCTCGGCTTCGACAACAGAAGCATCGAGACTCTCTCAAGTTGCACGAGATTCGATCTGGTGTCCGCTCTCCTGGTGGAACCAAAGTCAAGGTCTCTTCCACTTCTGTCGCTTTTTGTCACTTTTTTATATTAAAATTATTCTCTAGATCGTTCAGGTCAATCTCATGGATCAACGTCCCTCTGCCAACAACTTGTCATCAGTCCTGATGATCTTGCTGAGGCAACTCGACCTGGTCGCGCTGCTGCTAAGCGATCGACTAATTCCAGTCGGAATCCAAAGAAGGGTAGCCAGAGGGCGAAACCTAAGCCCAAATCTCAGTATAAAAATTGGCTGAATCCTCTGTTCTGGCCAAAGATTGAAGCAGCGTCCCAACATCCTTCTGTGGGGCCTAACTGGAGTGCCTCAGCAATCGTCGCTGTCCTGAAGCAAGATGTTCTGTTTTCATCGCTATCAAGAACTACTGTGAACGGCTGGATTGATAGGAGCGGTCCCAAGCCGTGCTGGTCCGAGAAAACGCTTGTGCGCGTTGGTCACGGCTTTTTTCAGGGACACCCCAACGGTGGTCAACGAGGGGTTCTTGTAAGTCGTTCCAGGCACTACTCAAGATATTTGTTTCTCATTGATGGCCAGTCACATCATCCCGAAGTGGTCGATACTGTGGTTACACAGCTCCGACTTTTGCGGGAGTCAGGAGCTCAGATCACTGTTGTGACTGTCCATGCAATCATGATCGCAGCAATTTTGTTGGGCGCTCCGGAGATCTTCCAGAAGGAATTCAAGGATGGCTCTCATTTTGTCGCATCTGAGTCCTTCATCCGCCGATGGCTGCATTCCACCATGAATTGGTCTGTCCGTCAATCCACTAACGCAGCGCAGAAACTCCCTCGTGACTGGCAGAGTCTTTGCGAGAAGTTCGCGCTCCGTCTTGCATGGATGATCAAAGAACATGATATTCCTGCCGCACTCATTGTGAACTCGGACCAGACTCAGGTCATCTATGCGTCTGGAGCGGGTTTCACGTGGGCAGATACTGGAGCGAAGCAGGTTTCCGTTGTTGGACAGGAAGAGAAACGAGCATTTACTGCGCTCCTCGGTATCACTGCTGACGGAAATGCGGTTGGAATGCAAGTCATCTATGACGGACTCACAAAGCGATCACTCCCTCCACAAACGGCCCGCGGCTTCACTAATCTTGTTGAAGCCGGATCTCGCTTTGTTTTCTCTGGCACAAGCACTTATTGGTCAAACATCGACACCATGAAGTCGTACGTTAACGAGATCTTAGCGCCATATTTTGATCGTCGCAAGGTCGAATTGAAGCTTCCACCGTCTCAAAAATCGATCTGGGCAATCGATGTCTGGCCCGTTCAGGCATCAAGCGAGTTTCGTGGGTGGTTGGTTGAAAATCATCCCTCGATTGCCTTCCATTACATTCCTGGCGGGACTACTGGTGTTTGCCAGCCGTTGGATGTGGGTATCAATCGAGTCTTCAAGCACGCCATCAAGCGATCCGTTCAAGAAGACACAGTTAGAGAAGTGCGGGAGAAGATGCGCTACACCAGAGAGGGTGCCATCGAATTTGATCGCACAAAGCCGGTTTTACGTGGTCGCAGTGTTGGATGGCTATGGGACGCGTTCCAGATTATTTCAGATGCTGAGCTGGTCAAGAAGGTGCGTTTTCATTGATTTTTAGTGCGCAGCATGGTTAATATTAGACAGGCTTTTGCGTTGTGCCAAGCCGGCGCTTTCAATCTCTCCTATGAAAGTCTGACAAGCTTCGAGATTCGAGAGCGACTTCGAAATCTGAAGGCTAATGATCCAGACTTCTGGGAGGAGTTGGAGTCGGGACGTCTCCGAGCCCTGGAACGACACAATGCCGAGTTCGAGGCAACACATCCCAGCAATCCAGAGTCCTATCTCTCGACTGATCCGGATCAAGACGAAGATTTCGAGGACGACGCAGACATCAGCACAGCAGCCATCAAGGAGAATGTTATGCAGAGCTGTGGCGTTCCAGGAGAGCAAGCCCGGTTGACTTCGGATGGATGGGAAGCAGAGGATATCGAGAACAACACTGTAGACAACCCACCTGAGGACGGCGACCAGGGTGATGGGCAGCAGAGAGGGCGTAGCAAGCGAAAGATCAAGGTCCCACGCAAGTACTTGGATTTTTGGCATCATTGAGTCTGTCAATTGTAGCTTACCTCTTAATATGGTCAGACGGAATGGTATGAACAAACCAGAGAACTCGTGTTACTTGTGATATGCACCTGACAGACTCAAAACAACACAGGGAAGGGTGCACAAGTATTTCTGATACTTCAGCCAACCCCCACAACCCTTATTTCCGAACGGAAAAATTAATTTGTCACCTGGGCAAGTGATGCGTGACATCGAAACAAATTTCGACTTCGTCAGGCAGCCTGTGATGCGTGACTGACGATTTGATTGGCACGGTACAGTACATCTAGAGGTACAGTTACTAATGTAAATGTACAGCAGAGGGCCAGAGGTGCTGTGTGGCCCAGGAGGAGGGAGAGTAGACGATGTGCAAAGGGCAGGAGATGAGGGAGTAGCGGAAGAAAGAGGGGAGGGAGGGCATCAGAAGTGACGCCATGACCACTTGCTCACGGCGCCAATTCAGATGCCCTCCCCCGATGCCCTCCCTCTGTCAGGTACAGGTGACGGGGCAGAAGCCCAATGGCGTGGAAGGCTGTAAGTACATGTGGGTCGTGTGGCATGACCGGCTGCGGCAGGTTATTGTTGGGTCATTGCATCAAACGGGAGGAGGGCGATGGCCAAGGGAGAAAGGTGGGAGGTCACAAGATTGTCAACAAACTTGTTTGCTAGACAAATACACTGATTGTGACAATCAACAGGAAATAATGTCGAAAAGAGAAGTCAATTCAAAGACTGGAGAATACAACCAAGTAGCTACAGTATTTATACCCAAATCCAGTCTGAGTCATATCTACAACTAATGAGTCATAAGGCTATGTACTGCATGTTGCACTGGTCATGGGTTGTAGTGGAACCTTCTGGAGCATACGTTGTGCAGCCTTGAATCGATAAAGATAATCCCCCAGACCCCCTAGCCCGGTGATAGGCTGGCTACCAGACGCGCTCTGCACCAGCTCTGTAAGGGCGTATTTTGCGCTTTTTACAGAGTTTACTCTTGAACCACTCGGTGTATCGTGTCGCGGTTAACAGTGTTGCGCTCAGTAGGACTTATGGGTCTACTGCCCAGTCGACGACTGTGGATAGTGTCGACGATAGCAAGGCAGTCAGACCACTACTGTGGAACTGGTCTTATGAGTCTACACCAGGCTCAGGGCCATTAGTGACGAACGCTTGGACCGCGACCATTCCCCAAAAAGGGATATGTCGTTGCGTCGACTTCTCAAAAAGGGTCATTCTCTGCAGATGGGAACTTGGGCTGAAGGGCTGAGCAATGCGCGACGTTCTCAATAATAGAACTACTACTGGACAGGACTTGGCGTTACAAGACTTAAACCATCTTGTCGCGGCAACTCCCGGTTTTGAGTTGGACGTTTCCTCAGATCATGCCACGACGACGACTTGTCACATGTCAGGATCCATTCGATCACAGGACATTGTGGACGCGTCGCGGTGACACTTCCAAGTGTCACGGCGAGTCGCGCCCATACTCAAACACACTAAAATCGATACGGCTAGATCCGTGAACCGAGCCATGCGGGAGACGATTGGCGTGCCTAGAGCCATACGGCTTCTTGGGGCGCCCACGTTGGTCTCACATGCCAAGACATACCCGTTGGCCAATCCAGCACGTCGTTGAAATGCTGAGGGCGTGCTCACAAGTGAATCTACTATGAAAGTAAACCCAAATATAAAACACGTTCACACTCCTCGTAATCAGCTTCTCAGTGTGTGAAAGATGCGAGGGCTTCGGGGTGGACAGAGCACCAGTATCACAACTCTCAATAGACGCAGATCCAATAGTCGCGGAGACGAAGTCGACGACAAGAATTTATATATAGCAAACAATGGTGTCTCAACCAATATCTTCTATACGAGCACAACCAACACTAATCCAATCCACAAACAACAATATAACAAGTCAGAGCTTAATACGAAGTATTAAGATCCCTTGTAGCGACAGCGTCCAGATGGTGACGCAAAGCCCAAATATCAAGTCGACGCACTGCCAACCGATACAACCAATATACTGAGTCGACGCACTGCCAACTAGTAAACCAAAATGTCGAGTCGACGCACTGCCAACTGACACAACCAAAAGTACTGAGTCGACGCACTGCCAACTAGTAAACCAAAATGCCGCGTCGACGCACTGCCAACTAACAGCCAATATCCAATGTCCAAAACCCGAGCACAACTTGTCGACGCACTGCCAAGCAAGAAGTGTGGAACCAAAGTTCTCAAGTCGACGCACTGCCAACTGACCAAAACAACCCGAGCACAACTAGTCGACGCACTGCCAAGCTAGAGGTGTGGAACGATCTCAACAAAGCCCGAAGGCGACGACACTAAATGCCGCGACTAAACCAGATGCGGCGAATCCGACTTTCTGATGTCTCAAAACTCAAAACTCAAATCACAGTAGCTACAAGTGCTCAGGGAGCAACTCTTCGCGACCGGGCAGGGATGGCAGAACTTCTTAGGGTGGAATCACGCGGCACGCAAATTGTACAAAACAATCTGAAATGATAGTGATTCGCAGTCCCGGGGGAAAGCTTTTTAATACAAAGAGACGACGTGCTACTTATACTGTCTACGACGCTGCTTAGTAAAGTCCTGTACAACTGCATAGTAGCTACGCTATCTAAGATCGGTTGCCTTTTAGGGTAATTGAAAAGTTGAACGATCGGACAGGTCCTGAGTGATCAGGACCCCGCCCCATTGTCCATATGATACTTTTGATGTGGGTCGACCCACCGCGTCATACTTTTGGAATACGACGTGTTGGATTGGCCAACGGGTATGTCTTGGCAAGTGAGACCAACGTGGGCGCCCCAAGAAGCCGTATGGCCCTAGGCACACCAGTCGTCCCCCACATGGTTCGGTTCACGGATCTAGCCGTGTCGGTTTCTAGTGTGTTTGGGTATGGACGCGACTCGCCGTGACACTTGGAAGTGTCACCGCGACGCGTCCACAATGTCCCGTGATCGAATGGATCCTGACATGTGACAAGTCGTCGTCGTGGCATGATCTGAGGAAACGTCCAACTCAAAACCGGGAGTTGCCGCGACAAGATGGTTTAAGTCTCGTAACGCCAAGTCCTGTCCAGTAGTAGTTCTATTATTGAGAACGTCGCGCATTGCTCAGCCCTTCAGCCCAAGTTCCCATCTGCAGAGAATGACCCTTTTTGAGAAGTCGACGCAACGACAGATCCCTTTGTGGGGAATGGTCGCGGTCCAAGCGTTCGTCGCTAATGGCCCTGAGCCTGGTGTAGACCCATAAGACCAGTTCCACAGTAGTGGTCTGACTGCCTTGCTATCGTCGACACTATCCACAGTCGTCGACTGGGCAGTAGACCCTTAAGTCCTACTGAGCGCAACACTGTCAACCGCGACACGATACACCGAATGGTTCAAGAGTAAACTCTGTAAAAAGCGCAAAAATACGCCCTTACAGAGCTGGTGCAGAGCGCGTCTGGTAGCCAGCCTATCATCTCCCAGGAACACTAATTTTGACCTCCTGGTCAATCCCGCGACAGTCTCACTGCGTCAGGTCTAAGTCCAACAGTCGACGTCTCGTTCATTTATTATTAAAGCCGCGGAGACATAGAGTTATGTTCCCACGTCTTATTCATTTGGTTGTTCGGTTCCTTCCGTGATCTGCCGCGATCAAACTTCTTCCGGCATGTTCACCATATAAATGCCCTCAATTTTCAGGGTCGAGAGTCTCCCTAGTACGAGACACTCTTGCTTTTCGACCACCATGTCCGCGCCCGACCAGAGCCCCCCGCCCCCAAGACAACAACCGTGAGTGACGCCCAGGACAATTACCGCGACTTTTCAACCACGCTAACCGTCCATCAGCCGTCACCGAATCAGCTGTCCCGGGAGCAAACCCGCCTGCCATCGACTGGCGGCAGTTCATGCCGTTAGTCAATGTCTCTCTCATGGCTTGTCGATCCAACTCACCACCTGCCTAGCCCTGAGGCCTACAACATGATGTTGCGGCAGATGGCCGTCGACGTCCGCCAGATCCAGCAGGTGAGCTCCGTTCTAAGCCCGCTGGAGCGAGCAGTCACGGCGATCAATGATTGCCGCGCCTGTTCGCTTTGGCCTTCCTTCTTTTCACTCACGTAAGGACTAGCCGGCGTCTACGCCCTTGACCACCAACGCTCCAGTCGAGGAGTCGTCGCCGCCCAAGAAACGCAAACGAGTCGTCGAACCCGTACGTGTAATCTGTTTCATTCGTTTACTATGTTCTGATCGACCCCCAGGCGGCTCCAACCGAACAAGTCGCCGCCCCTTCGTCGTCCCGGCCTGCCAAGCAGAAGGGGAAGGGTGACGGCTCCAAGCCGCAGGCCCCTGCCGCCGTCGCGGGCAGCAAGGTCGCCGTCGCCAAGAAGTCGAGCGAGAAGTCGCAGGGGAAGCGACCCAAGGCGACTCCTGCGAAGGAGCCCAAGGCGTCGTCTCACGCGCCTACTCGTAAGTGGCTCTTTCCTTTCATTCACCAGAGTCGCGGGTACTGACTTGTCGTAGCCGCTACCTCGGCCCCTATTCCACAGGAGTCACCTCCCAAGCGCGTCCACAAGAAGACGCACGCAGGTGTGTGATCCTATGTCTTATTTCATTGATCTTTAGACTAACCACTTGGTCCCTCCCAGCCCGGATCCAAGCACAGCCTGTGCAGCCCGAGTCCCTCAGCGATGAGGAAGCCGCCGCCGTCGCCGACACTGCGATGGATGTCGACGACGAAGGGGTCCAGGAGGGAGACGCGTCATCGGCCGGCGAGCTGGCCCTTCAGGTAAGTGACCCAGTTCGTCGATCGCGATTCTTCGTCTCATGGTTGGTTTGTTTTTGACAGGGGCCCAAGTCCAAGGGGAAAGCGCGATCGAATTTGAGTGCGTTCTTCCTCTTGCCCCCTCTGTCGATTACTCATACTTTCGTAGCCCCGTCCGTTATCGTCATGGACGACACTTCCGAAAGTGGGGAGGAGACCGGCGATTTCGT